TTGCTGTCTGATAACAGTGTGTCTTCACTGCTGCTCTGTGCGTCTGCTCATTTAAGTGTGTATTTCTTATCTTTTTCTCTGTTCTTCCATGTACATTTGAATGGAACAATATATTGGTGGAAGCGGATTTATTTTTTTGAAAAAAAAGTGGAGAAAAATGTTTACTGTATTGGATTACAGTCATATGTCTGTCTTTATAGTACAACAGAAGGTTAATTCTTTAGTAATATGATTCTAAAGGGGCTTGAGAAAGAAAGGAAAAATAAGGTCTCTGGAACCCCAACCATAATGTACACTACTGTTTTTTTTTTTTTAGGGAAAGAAATGAACTTTTTTTCTGCAAGAATGCATTAAATCAATCAAAAGTGATTTAATATAGACTTTCCATGTCAAATAGATTCTGTTATTTTGGGCTTTCTATTCATCAGAAATTCCTGAAAAAGAAATAGTCATGGTTGCCACAATGATATTCATGTCACGACACACACAAGGATAACAGGAACTAAGGAGCGAGGAGATGAGGAATATACGAAAACAGCCTTTAATCCATAGAACACAGGGTACATCAACACTGGAGACAGCAGGAAACACATCCACGTAACGAGTAGACCAGACAAAAGGGAAACTGAACAGGCAGGAACTTAAATACAAGGGTAACGAGGATAATAACTAGACACACCTGGAACAAATTGGAAACATTTAGGAGGGGGGCTCTCTGGAGGCCTCTAGGAGCAGGGTTACCTCCAGACCTCCAGGGCGGTGCCCATTCGGGGACCCACAGCGGAGCAGGGAGCTCGGGGAGCCATGGCGGAGTAAGGAGCTCGGGGAGCCATGGTGGAGCGGGTGACTTGGGAGGCCATGGCGGAGCAGGGAGCTCGGGGAGCCATGGCGGAGCAAGGAGCTCGGGGAGCCATGGTGGTGCAGGCAGTTCAGGAGGCCATGGCAGGGCAGCCTCCGAGGCCACGGCCCCAGCCCCCACCTCTACGACCTCCCTGGGCTTAACTGGGGATCAGGAGCCCTTCCTGGGCTAAACTGGGAATCCAAAGCCCTTCCTGGGCTCAACTGGGGGCCAGGAGCCTTCCGTGGGCTATACTCGGGAACAGGAGCCCTCCGTGGGCTATACTCAGGAACAGTGAAGAGCTTACGAGAGGCTGGCACTGGAGGGTGCTCTGGAGAAGCAGGCACAGCAAGGCGCTTTCGAGGAGCTGGGGCTGGAGCCGACACTGGAGCGATCTCTGGGGTTGGGAATGGGGGACGGAGAACAGTCCCTTTCTCCTCATCCTCCTCTTTTGGTTAGAGGTGAATTGGGCGGCCGGCGGGCTTGCCACAGGAAAGGCCAGCAGGCTGGAGAGAGCTGCTGCCGGTGGGCTTGAGGATGCCATGGCCGGTGGGCTGGTTCTGGCTCGGGGCCGGATGCTCTCCAGACACCGGAGGATCACTTCCCTCCAGCTTAATCCCATGGTGTCTGGGAGGTCCACGGGGCGATGGTAATTGGCCCCGTGCCAGAACAGCGAGTTGAGCGCGTCGTCGTCTAAAGCGATGCCACGGCGAGCCTGCAGAACTCCCAGGAATACTCAACGAAGGGGAGATCCAGACGAGCTAGGGCTGTGAACTGAGCGGCTGCTTCCATTGCTGCGGAGGAAAACCGGGAAACAAAAAACTTTTAAAACGGAAATAAAACAAGGGGAGTGGGGGCGCCACTTACTTTTCTGTTATTGGTCTGGTCTTCTGTCACGACACACACACACGAGGATAACAGGAACTAAGGAGCGAGGAGATGAGGAATATACGAAAACAGTCTTTAATCCATAGAACACAGGTTACATCAACAATGTACAGCAGGAAACACATCCACGTAACGAGTAGACCAGACAAAAGGGAAACTGAACAGGCAGGAACTTAAATACAAGGGTAACAAGGATAATAACTAGACACACCTGGAAAAAATTGGAAACAATTAGGACAGGAACAGGAAGGACCAAATAAGGGCATGGAAACACATGGGGAACAAAAAACACACAAAACAGAACAAAGTCTGACAATTCAACATTGAAAATGGTAAGAAATCAGCAGCAAATCAGCATAATAGAATGCTATCAGAAGGATCATCTGACACTGAAGACTGGAGTAATGATGCTGAAAATTCAGCTTTGCCATCCCATAAATAAATTATATTTTAAATTATGTTAAAATGGAAAACAGTTATTTTAAATTGTAATAATAGTTTATTATATAACCATTTTTTTTTTTACTGTATTTTTGATCAAAGAAATGCAGCCGTAGTGAGCATAAGTCAGCATTTGAACAGTAGTCAATCTCAACAGAACATGAGGGTTAAAAGAGGAAATATACTATATTTGGTCACAATTTTATAAATAATTAGTGCTATTAGCCTATAATGTCTCTAATTATTTTCCTTTTTGTGCCTCTGTGCACCCTTAAAATTATTACTTCATTTTCTGTAAAAAAAACAAAACAACAAAAAATATTTAAATTTGTAATATAATAGCAGACATTTTGGTTTTTAACCAAAGTTTAAAAATTTACAATGGCTATAAGTATCAACCAAAATTTCTGGATTGGTAAAGGGTCATCGCTTGAATTCATGATGGGGCCTGAGACAGAATTTTTAAGGGACCTTTCTTGTTACAGGTATATTCTTAAGATTAACAATGGGATTTCACATTCTCTCTGCTTTTATTTCATTATTTTCTTTCTAAATCACTTCATCCTGTTGCCCACACATCATTATTAACAACATAAGCTAACAGTTAATTGTTCACTGCACCTGTCTAGTATGTGAATCAGAGTCACAGCATCAGCAGAAGTTAGTCATCTCGCATTCACTTTGAGATTATCATCCTCAGCAGTCCCGTCCAAGTTAAATTCAGACCTCAGATCACCAACTAATTATCTAACAAGTGAAGCAGTCTCTCATTAATGAGTCCGATATTGTTTATGAACAGTAATGACAGCTATTGTTATTCTTGCTGTCTTGGCCAATGAGTTTTGTCCCTTCCTGTTAATGAGCTGGATGATGATAGTTGCATTAGATTTAATTATTTAAGGGCAGTTAGTGAGATTAAAAAGAGTTCCGACGACCTTCCTTCTTCCATACACTATTATAAACACATGCACATGCTTTAAGCAAAATATGTAAATCCTGCAGTTATGTACATTGGGTCGAACAGCAGCTGTTCGGAGAGCGCGGCTGCTGTGAGATGTGCCGTTGGGCGACAGAATGCCCAAGACTGACAAATGCAGTCCAACAAGTGTGTAGCATTACTGAGAGTGTGTGTCATCACCTGTTTGATGGTGACAGTTGTGAATGGTGGTGTTTTCGAAGCTTTCTAGATCACTTATTCTTTATTAGTCTATTCCTCTGTATTTATAGTCTTCGTAGCCACATCTATCCTGTATAGCTGACGGTAGCTTTATTATTTTGATTTATGTGCGCATCCTATCAGTTTTCAGAGGCATTACTGTAGACGGTGCAGCAATCATTTCTGATTTGATTTAGGACGGATTTTATTCTGGACACGGAGCTTTCTAGACTGATATAGATCTCAAAATGGCTGAAGTTATGTTTTAATTTAAACCAACTGTTTCTGTCCATCACAAATCTATTTACATGCAGCTTTTTTTGGACAGTTATGTTTCCTTTCCATCAAATGTACTTCTCGCTCAAACATAGGAAGGTTGCGATGTGGCTTAGCTCTCAATTACTGTCAGTTTGATGGATATGCGACATAGTTAGGGTGGAATACAGGTTGTCAGTCATCATGTATAAGTGTGGCATCCATTGCATTTCTTATTTGTCACTGATTTTGGGGTAAACAGAGTCTGAAGAAGATGCATTTATTAAGATTTTGTGCTGCACAGACATTTGGCATGCACAAACCTGATTATATTATAATTCATTATCAATCACCGCTGCTTTTCACACAAAAATGAAAATTTGCTGAAAAAGTACTGACCCTCAGGCCATCCAAGATGTAGATGAGTTTGTTTCTTCATCAGAACAAATTTGGAGAAATTTAGCATTACATTACTTGCTAATCAATGGATAGATAATCCACAATAACTCCAGTCCATCAATTAACATATTGTGAAAAGTGAAAAAAGCTGCATGTTTGTACGAAACAAATCCATCATTTTGATGTTTTTAGCATCAAACCATTGCTTCCAGCTAAAATATTTATCCTCTATCCATAATATTGCTTCAGGAATGTTGCTGAATCAGGAGAGGAATATGCACAGAAAGCACGGTTTAAAAGTAAAAATGCAATGCTAAATTTCTCCAAATATGTTTTGATGAAGAAACAAAATCATCTAGATCTTGGATGGCCTGAGGGTGAGTACATTTTCAGCTAATTTTCATTTTTGGGTGAACTATTCCTGATTTGAAATCAATTACACCAAAGTGGATATAAATCTTAGTTTGCGCATTATGCGATCTATGCAGTGTAGTAATGGGCACTTTTATGTTTATGTACTGTATATGGCAATATTCATTTCTGTGTTAGACAATGCAGAAGTCTAAATTACTCTGTTATTTGCCTAAACCATTAATAGTGGTCAAGTGAAAGGTTTTAGAAATTAATTAACAGAAAATACATAAATATTTATTTCATAAACCTTGCACTTGTCCACTGTTATCGCTTTGATGAGCAATTATTAACTGTTCAGCACCATCTGCATGACTCATGGGCTCTCTAACAGAAACCAGGTCAATGCTTAATTTACCAGTTATCTTCACGCAAGGGGGTGTGGGAAATATTAGATACATTTATTATTACTTTTATGATATATCATCATCTTGTACATCCTAAATTCATCTCTAAATGTTCCAATATAGTAGTAATAAGACCGGTCTTATGGAGGACATCTTCATTTGGGCACTTTAACCATAAATCCCACATACTTTGGGATGTTCTAATTTTGCCGATGCAAATTAGAAATGAGCCTAGATTGCTGCTATTTTCTTGATGTTCCTACAGGTCTGGATGACTGCTTGCAGCAGTATATAAAGAACTTTGAACGGGAGAAGGTAGGAGGTGACCAGCTGCTGAGGATCACCCATCAGGAGCTGGAGGATCTGGGGGTATCCCGCATCGGACACCAGGAGCTGATCCTGGAAGCTGTGGACCTGCTGTGCGCTCTGGTGAGAGTCTTCACGCTTCTTTATGCGCTTGATCCTTCATCTGCTGTTCAACACCCCGTCAGCTGGCGGACACTGCGTCCCCTACTGCACGATGTTGACAAAGATATCAAGATCACTTTGAGAAAAACAATATCACATTCTGAAAAGACTACAGTTGTTGAAATTGAAAATGACTCTATTTACTAATTTAATGACTTGGACAGGTATCATGATTTCACACAATATATCAGGGAAAAAATTTATAATAATAATAAAAGTATAAATGATATAATTAAATATGAAAAACGAATAATAAAATTAGCCAATGACTCAATGTACTTATTTAATCAATTTACATGGTCTTATTTTGCTTAACATATCAGAAGAAAAAGACAAAAGTAACAATTAATTACTTAAAATAAAAATATTAAACATTTAATTAATATGAAGTATAAATAAATAAAACAAAAAATTACCTATTTCTTATTTCACATAATATATCAGAAGAAAAGGAAAAAAATAACTTACAGTTAAAAAACTGAATAACTTAGTTAAAAAAATAATATTAAACATTTAAAATAATATGAATGAGTGTTAACATAATAAAATAAAACAAAACTAATCAATGACTCTATTTAAATATATAATCAATTTACATAATCTTATTTTGTACGATATATCAGATGAAAAAGGCAGAAAATGTAAAAATCAAATAACTTAAAAATAAAAATAATAATATAAAACATTTAAATAATATGAACAAATATAAAATATAATAAAGCAAAAAATTACCTATTTCTTATTTCACATATTATATCAGAAGAAGAAAAAATAATAATATTAAACATTTAAAATAATATGAATAAATTTAAACAAAAAAACAATAAAATAAAAAATAATTATAATGAAAGGCAAACAATGTAAACATCAATAACTTAATCATTAAAAAATCATTAAAAAAATTATGAATAAATATGTATTAACAAACATGAATACATTTACCATAAATCAATTGAAAATGTTGGAGCCTCTTTTTCAAAATCCAGTCAAATTATTATTCTGTTTCCGTTTGAAAAACATCACTTTACAGAAGTGAAATAAGTTGCGAATGTCATGTTCTCTTAAAAGTCGCTTAATAATAATATTGCTCTCCTGGGAAAGATTTCCACAGATTTGTTCTCAAAATGCCACTCAGTCGGTATTTAAATGTGGCTTTTTGCTAGGTGGATTTGTTCCTGTGGCCTTAATCTGTATCTGCTCTGTGTGCGTGTGCGTATGTGTGTCTTGACAAATTTTTATTGCTGTGTGACGTTCCACGGCTTGAAAATGATTTTCAAAAAGGTACCAAGAGTACAGACAGTGTGGGAGATGGGAAAAGGATTTAAGCTGAAATTTGCTCTGCACCGCTTGAGCTTTTTACATTATCTAGCATTTAATAACTAGCTTTCCATCTAATTCTCTCTCTCTCTTCCTCTTCCTCTCTCTCGAATTAAAACAATGACTTACCAGCCCACGCTTTCAGATTGTCAGCATCATGACGGGAGGGAACAGACGACAGGATGATGTTTAGCGCATCCGTGTGAGCTGTCTCACGTGCCGCCCAGCCTGAGTCTCTCCTCAACCTGTCCTTTTGCTCTTTTTTTTCTATCTTCACTTCAACTTGTCTTTCTAAGAGATATGTTTCTTGTTGTCTTTTCCTGAGAATGAATTTCAGTGTAGAGTTAACATTAGGTGAACTATAATGAGTGTGAGGTTTTGTGAGGGACTGTGAACCACTGGCCTGTGCTGCTGACATTTAGGAGAGCATTAATCATAAATAGATGAGTTTGCTGTGCTCTCTATCTGCTCTGAACACTGATCCCAAATCAGAGCTGATGACATTCACGTTACACAGCCCTTGTGAATGTCAGCCTGTAGACACGTGCGTATGAAATTAGACATATTGTACATCTCGGATTTCATATAAAAGCTGCCTCAGCTGTACAGTTTGAAAGCCACTTTTTAATTTAAAGGAATCATTCAGTGAAAAAAATTCAGATTCTCTGATTATATTTCTTGGAGCACAAAATGAGATATTTTGCAGAATGTTCCTGCTGCACTTTTCTCTTTTTCATGTCGTTCCAATCCTGTATGACTTGCGTTCTTCTGCAAAACACAAAAGATGATGTTGGTAGTCAAGCTGTTTTTTTGTAAACAAACAAACAAACAAAACATACATTTATTAAAATATCTTATTTTATATTCCACAGAAGAAAAAGTCAAACTTGTTTGCAACAACACAAGGGTGAACAAATGATAGAATTTTAATTTAAAGGTCACTGTCCCTGAAATGTTTTGCTCTCAGATCTCATTTGCAGCATTTAATTTCCTATTTAAACTTATTAGAAATTCAGAATTTAACTTTTAATCACTGAAAGATGAAAAGAAAACACTATTTGAAATCTGTGTGTTGAATTTGTTCACGTTGAAGTTAGTGTTACTGAATACCGATCAACAAATAGTACAACAAATTGGACATTTACATAGGGCATGTCAAGGCCAGTACAGTATATTGTTAACTGTATAACTATTATATTCATTTTCATTTTTGAAATAAAGCTAAATATAAAGCTAAATAAAATAAAATATAAATATTAAATTAAAAACAAAAAAAACTTAAAATAAGTAAGCTGAAGTATGAAAATTAGTATAACTGAAAGAAATATATAAAAAATTACAAATATTTAACAAATTTACAAAAAAATAAAATGAAACTGAAAACGTAAAAATATTTTTTACAAATCAGAATATTAATAAATACTGTAATAGTATCAAATTAATACTAAAATAACACTGGTCAAGACTTGATGAAGCAGGTTTGAAACAATAAGATTGTGAGTAAATAATGAATAATTTAAATTTTAGAGACAAAATGTGCAGGAAAGAACAATGCCACAAACTTTCTTATTCAAAACAAAAACTCGCTGAGAGAAAATTACTTAAACACTGTAAACAATGAAGCATCCTGCGGCATTGTCTTGTGAGCATGGTATTAATTCACTAAGGTACCGTTTCCCCACTGTTAGTTGTCTTTGAAACCATCACAGACACAAATTCGCACAAATATTGATGGAAGCCAGAGAACTGTTGAGTCCTTATTGTTTGACAGCATATTGACCTCAGAGACACAGAGCGGCACACTCTCTCCTTTCCCGCCTCTCTAAACTCTCAAAGGCTGTCATTCTCTCACTTATTTGTTTATCTCGCTCTTCCCCTCCATATTGCTTTATCTTTCTGTCATTGTGGTGTGTGTTATCTGCTGCATTCATGCAGAGAGCTTCTAAATAGATTAGCATGGAGGATTCCCCCCCCCACATCGTCTGCTCCACTCACAAGCTGATTAATGTGTCTTTTGTGTGTCTGTGTGTGTTGTACAAACCTGTTTTAGTGTTCCAGGTGTGTGTTTATTACCTGTACTTGTACTTTGTGAGTGAGTGTGTGTGGGATTTGTTCTTCGGACAAGATGGAGCACATTACTCTCATCGATCTCCTACTGATGTGAGAGGAGATACTGATACACGCTTTACGTGCACACACACACACACACACACACACACACACACACACAAGTTTTTCTATCATGGTGTGCACATTCTATTGACTTCTGTTGTTTTATGCTGAATTAATTATATTTTTATCCCCTAAACAGCCCTCACAGATACCTTTCTCCATTGTTTTAAATAAGACTTTTGTGTTTATTAAGCCATTAACATATTTTGTGAGCAACTCTTTATAAAAAATAATGGTAATAAATGGTGACAGTTATTTTATATATTTATATAACAACACAAAATAAAATATGAAACTGTATATATATATATATATATATTAGTGCTGTCAAACGATTAATCGCGATTAATCGCATCCAAAATAAAGGTTTTTGTTTACGTAATATATGTGCGTGTACTGTGTACATTTATTATGTAAGACGCTTCGCGTCATGCCTAACAACGCCCTTCAGCCGTGATTTATTCACTATACAGCACGGCCTCGAGTACCTTGTTGCTTTTATAAAACGCTTACCACACAATAAAAAATATTAAAACCAAAAATGTATGTATTGAAATGTTACTTTTTTGAAGCAAGTTCGTTAAATGTTGTCCTTCCGCTAAAAAATTGTTCCTGACAGCAACAGTAAACTGCAAGAGAATGTTCCGAACATGCCTCATCTAATGGAGCTTAAATAAAAACAGAGAATAGGAGCTCTTATCCGCTGTCATTTTTTTTAACACCATATATGATATTTTCTCACACACATCCGCTTATCTCTCAGCATGAGAAAACGTCTGTTTTCTGTCTTTTAGTTTTAAAACAGACCGATTCGCGGCACAGCGCGAGTTTGCAAGCGTCATTACAGTGTAAACTGATGGACATCCAGAATCATACATGAAACAGAAAACTAATAAATACAGTAATATTCCCTCCTCACTTCGGAAACTGTAGGCTTTCACACAGACGCGCACACACATCAACATATCTTCATATGAGAAGCGTTTATTAGATGGGGAAAGGTCGGGGTCTCAAAATTAAAGATGAAAGGTGCAACTTAACGCCAGCATGGGTCACTCATACTTCATTAAATAAATAACAAACAGTTAATTCTGCCGAAATACATAATAAATGAAACCGTTTTGATGCTATATTATTGATTGTTTATGTTGCTAAGGGTGTTGCTCAGTGATACACAGAACCGTTGGGTGAAGCGGTCATAGCCATGCTGTATCGTGAATAAAACACACCAATCCGAATCGAGGAATTGAACTAACCGTTTTATAAGTAAAAATAAATACACACACATACAGTAAATATTTAGAAAATATTTACATGTGTTTACATGTATATATTTATAGTCATATAATTTATATTATATATAAATATATTTAATATATAAACGTAACATATTTTTTTTAAATATATACATGCATGTGTGTCTATTTATATGTACGGAATAAATATACACAGTACACACCCATATATTATGTAAACAAAAACTTTTATTTTGGATGCGATTAATCTCGATTAATCTTTTGACAGCACTAATATATATAAAAATGTGTATATTATTATTTATCACACAGACACAATGTTTTAATTTAATTGATAAATATTAATGTCATAATTTTATATTTAATGTTTTAATTTTAAGGTTATATTTTTGTTTATATCAGAAATTAAATTTCAATAAATCAAATTATATAACTATTATTTATCAGGAAAATTCTACATTAAATGATAAAATATTACATATATTTCTTTTCATTATTTCTTCAAATAATAACAATGTATGCTGTTGTGCTTATTCAGATAGGATTAGAAAAATAATTATGTATTTCAATATTATAATATATCTTATATATATACTTTCTATAATATAACATTACTGTTTATCAATATATACACACACATAATTTTACACACACACACACACACACACACACACACACACACACGTGTGTGTGTGTGTGTGTGTGTGTGTGTGACCCTGGACCACATAACCATTTATAAGTAGCAGGGGTATATTTGTAGCAATAGCCAACAATACACTGAATAGGTCAAAATTATAGATTTTTCTTTTATGCCAAAAATTATTAAGATAATACGTAAAGATTATGTTATTTGAAGATATTTTGTAAATTTCCTACCATAAATATATCAAAACTTAATTTTTGATTAGTAATATGCATGGCTAAAAACTTCGATTCGAACTTCAACTATCGATTTTCTCAATATTTAGATTTTTTTGCACCCTCAGATTCCAGATATTCAAATTTATTCAAATTTATTCAGCTTTCAGATTATATTTTTATTTATATCAGAAATAAAATGTGTATATATAAAATTGAATAACTATTAATTATCAGGCAAATTATTGATCGTATAAAGACACAATCAGTTAATGGATTTACAAGACTGTGGGATGGATAAAAATAAGGATAAGGATGTTATTACCTCAACAAAATGATCTTGTGGCCACGACATATGACGTTCCCACGAGTTGAACCGAACATGTCCCCTCCCGGTCAGCGTATACATCACCTTCTAATAATGCAAAAAAAGATTTCTGCGAGGGTTACGGTTAGAGTTAAAAGTCAATAGATTGAAAAACAAATGTGTGTTTGTGCTCTTGAATGTATGTGCATAATGCTGCGTTTGATCAGTCTCTGCCCCTTGATCAGTGCTATTTATGCAGGAACATGGTAATTTGGTTGTCTGCCAAAGGCACCTGCTGCGACCTCACTCTGACACAAACACAGACATCAGCAGTTTCGATTTAAGATACGCCAAAGAGGCCTATAGAAGTAAACGTGCATATGTGAAAACTAAAGTTTGCTTTTTGGCTTTGTTCTGGCATGTTTTTTGTCAGATTTAGATATGCAGATTTGTCTGAGCTGACTGTGTTATCTCAGTGCGGAGCGTGGCGTGTGTAAGCTCCTATCAGCTGGCAGCAGAGACTCTCAGTGCATTATTCATAGCCTGAACTTTATGTTCTGTCTCCACCCACTCAACGCACCTCTGCATATGAAGCACTCACTCTTTCTCTCTCTCTGCCAGGTGCTGAATATTCATTTGGGATCTCTGAGTGATCTTGAGGGTGTGAGTTAGAGAGAGAGAGAGAGAGCGAGAGAGAGAGTCTCTGCCAGTGAAAGATGTTTAATTTAATTTTATTTAATTTTATTTAAGTTTAACTTTTAAAAAGTATTAAATTCATATAAAATTGTATTAATTTTATTTTATCCTATTAAAATAATTATTAATATGAATATTAAATTAATTTAAAACAATATTTTCTTCAGGCAATTAACATTCAGAATTTGTTGTTACAAACTTTCCTTTTCTAGTTTTACTTGCGCAGTTTGCACAATTACAAAGGTACAACTTCTGCCATGCCAATAAAGCGCAATAAAACTGAAATTGAAAACAGAGAGAGGAGAATTGTAAATCTAAAATGGAGACAGAAGAGCAGGGAAACGAAAAGCAATTCTGATTGAGTCATTCCTGCAATTGTTTGCCAACCAGTTTTGTCACTAAAACATTTCATAGTCTTTATCTCTGTTTGACAGAACTACGGGCTGGAGACTGAAAACCTGAAAACTCTCTCTCATAAGCTCAATGCCTCTGCCAAAAACCTGCAGAACTTCATCACGGGCCGCAGACGCAGCGGTCATTACGACGGCCGGACGACCCGCAAACTGCCCAACGATTTCCTCACATCTGTGGTGGACCTCATCGCTGCTGCTAAGAGCCTTCTGGCCTGGCTGGATAGGTTAGTCCTGCTAAGAGCCACATACACACCAAATCAATTCATGATTTAATACATACTTAACATAAATAAACACAGATTCGATTTAATTTATTCAAATTCAACCGCATTGGTCAAGGTTTTAAAGCCTTACTTGTTGGAGTATAGCCAAATTCAGTGCCCTCTTCCTTAGAAATGGTATGATATCAAATAAAGATTTAAAGAACGACCTTAAAGGTTAATAGTGGGCTTATTCTGAGCTCCAGAGTCTTATCATCTTTCGTTGTTGATAGTCAGATGAATGCTGTTGTGACGTGAGCAACAGACTGAGATTAACCGATTAATCTGACATTTATATATTTGAGTAATTAGATCTTGAATACTACAAAAGTAGTACAAAATATTCAGCTAAGATGCGTTAAATTGATCAAAAGTGATAGTAAAGACATTTTTAATGTTATAAGATTTCTATTTCAAATAAATGCTGTTCTTTTGAACGTTATATTCATGAAAAAATCTAGAAAATAAATTTATACTGTTTTCCACAAATGTATTAAGCAGCACAACATTCATAATAATTAGAAATGTTTCTTGAGCAGCAAATCATTATATTAGAATGATTTCTAAAGGATCATGTGACACTGAAGACTGGAGTAATGATGCTGAAAATTCAGCTTGGCATCACAGGAATAAATGACACACTCTCAAATAGTTATTTTATACTGTTATTTTATATTATAAAAATATTTCATAATATTTCAGTTTTTTTTATCAAATAAATGCAGCCTTGATGAGCATAAGAGACTATTTTCAAAAACATAAAATCGTATTGACCAAAACTGTACATAATGAAATTATGAGAGTTTTAGTCTTGGTTTTTATGGATTAGTATGGATTTAAGATGTATTCCTACATCGGCATCCTTTGTTGTTCCTTCCTGGGCCATTGATTTTGGGCTTAGTTTCAGAGATGTGGCTGTGATTCCTGGAGTGTTATTCCAGGAACAGCAGAGGGTGTTGATCCAGGAACATTTCCTGTTTGTGTAAATCATGTCATGCACGGTCTTCCCTCCAGTCAAGGGATGGCACTGCGAATTGTAGTGACACTTTGTGTGGCAGGGTGGGCAGAAACAGACTTGGGGTCTCTTGTGTGGTGTGTGCGAGGTCAGCTTTTGTCTGCTCAAATTCAATCATGTTGAATTGTACCTGATTGCTGTTTCCCCTCAGCAATCAGGTACAAGTATGAGTGAAGAGGTCTTATATAAAACAGACTCTGTCTCTCTCTGTAACTCAGCTTCTTTCGGTTCAAGGTTTTAACCACATGGCTTCTGTTCATGTACAGTTGTCTTTAGATTGTGATTTCTTTATGATGTATTGATGAGCAATGTTTCAGAGAGAGCGATATGTAAGGAAAGTGAGAAATTGAACATTTCTGTCCAGCAGTTGTAATTTTTTCTCACAAGCAGGTCCACATGGAATTTTGGTGCTTTTTGTGAGGAAAAATCAGTAGAAATTATGTTTTCACTGAAAATTTCACATCCATTGATTCTCTATGTCAGTGGATCTCAACCTTTTTGACTCAAAAGCCCCCCACTGTCCAACACAATATTTGAAGGCCGCCTATATCTATCTATCTATCTATCTATCTATCTATCTATCTATCTATCTATCTATCTATCTATCTATCTATCTATCTATCTATCTATCTATCTATCTATCTATCTATCTATCTATCCATCTATCTATCTTATTAAAAGAAGCTTGAGTGTCAATATAGATAGATAAATTAACAACAGTTATTTTTTTGATTCTAGATGTTTCAAGAACTATTTGTTCTTCACCAAAAACCACTTTTCTATCATATATTGTACATTATTGCAAAATTTGTCATCAGGATAATGTTGTCTAGCTCGCTAACGTAAAGGTTATTTTGTCGAATTAGCAAAAAAAAAAATTATAGACTTGAAAGCATCAGTAAGAACAAACAGTAATGTTTTGCATCATATTCCTTTGTTTTAAAAAAATAAAAAAATATAAATCATTATAGCAAAAATTAAAATGTGACCCTGGATCACAAAACCAGTCATAAGTAGCGTATAGTTGGCAATAGCCAACAGTACATTGTATGGGCCAAAATTATTGATTTTTCTTTTATGCTAAAAATCATTTGGATATTAAGTAAAGATCATGTTCCTTGAAGATATTTTGTAAATTTCCTACCATAAACATATTAAAACTTAATTTTTGATTAGTAATAAGAACTTCATTTGGACAACTTTAAAAGCAATTTTCTCAATATTTTGCAACCACAGATTCCAGATTTTCAAATAGTTGTATCTCAGCCAAATATTGACCTATACTAACAAACCATACATCAATGGAAAGATTATTTATTCATCAGATGATGTATAAATCTCAATAAAAAAAAAATGACCCTTATCCTTATGACTGGATTTGTGGTCCAGGTTCACAAATGCATTACTAAAAATAAATATATATTTTATTTGTTGTAGCAAATAATGGCACAGCAATTAAAAGAACTTGGCCAGCAGAATATATATACAGTCATGGTCAGAATTATTGGCACCCTTGGTAAATATGATCAAAGAAGGCTGTGAAAATAAATCTGCATTGTTAATCATTTTGATCTTTTATTTTAAAAATTCACATAAATCTAACCTTTCATTGGAGAATAAGAATTTAAAATGGGGGGAAATATCATTATGACATAAATGTTTTTCTCTAATACACATTGGACACAATTAACAGCACCCTTTTATTCAGTGCTTTTTGAAACCTCCATTTGGCATAATAACAGCTCTTGAGTTTTCTCCTATAATGCCTGATGAGGTTAGAGAGCACCTGACAAGAGATCAGATACCATTCCTTCATCCAGAATCTCTCCAGACCCTTCAGATTCCCAGCTCCATGAAGGTGCTTCTCTAAGGTTTTCTGACCCTGAGACTCAACTATTTTCTGCAATTCTCCAGCTGTGGTCCTTGTAGAGTCTTTAGCCACTCAAACTCTCCTCCTCACCGTGCATTAGGATGATATAGACACACGTCCTCTTCCAGACAGATTTGTAACATTTTCTGTTGATTGGAAATTCTTAATTAATGCCCTGATGGTGGCATTGGGAATTTTCACTGCTCTAGCTCTTTTCTTAAAGTCACTTTCTAATTTGTGAAGCTCAATTATATTTTGCTGCACATCAGAAATATATTCTGTGGTTTTTCTCATGTGACGGATGATTAAGGGAATTTGGCATTTGTTTTCCCTCCTATTTATATTCCTGTGAAACAGGAAGCCATGGCTGGATAATTTCATGTTCATAATCACCCTGGTATGCTCAAAATTGTAAATATGAATGGGAATATACTTCACAGATATTTTACTAATTTCTAGGGGTACCAATAATTGTGTCCAACGTGTATTTGAAAAAAACATT